CGACTTTAATTATCCTGTGAAATCCCAGAAACAGTGGCACCTTTATGATGAGGGCGTAATACCATGGCTGGCTCCGCCCATGATATAATCGTTGAATTTGAAACAGCTTTCGGTAATAGCAAGTTTGTCAAAAATTTAGGCTTCGGATTATTGTGGTGTCCCGGAGTCTCATTTCGTCTGAAGTGTAGTAACAGTTCAGATGAAATTAGACTCTGGGACACACAGATGAAGTTATCTCGCCAGGCATCGCATACCAGGAACACGTCAGCGATAAGAACCTTCCCCCCTCGGAAGTACCCTCATTAATCATCAAGTAATCACCCCGCTCAATGGTGAACAAGGAAGTATACCGAACCGCCGCATAAAACAAAACGCTATCTCCACCCAATAATAATATAACTGGGACGAACTACGAGACCATTATGCAAGTCATCATGTCAGTTCATGATTCAAATTGTTCCAGCTTCAGGGGCTTGAAACCTCCCAATTGGGCGGAATAATTGACCAGCAGCGGCTCAAGTAGGACCCGTGAATGTCACTTCTAAAACTGATGAGGCGAAAGACTTGTCAGTGATTTCTCTCATCAAAAACGCTCCGTATTGCTGCTCCGTTCGTGCAATTTCCGCTTGGAACACGAGCAACACCACCATTTCCTAGATGTTTGTGTTTTATAGCCTTTTCTTCCTCTTTCCATTTCCTCCGTCCTATGATGAAAACCAATCGATAACACATGTTTCTTCTAATCACTGAGTAATTTACGGGTCCAACTGTTTTTATTCGAAGTACACGTAATTCGTTCATTGAGTGGCAATCTCCGTAAAGTCCCTCAATAAAAGTCCATTTCAGATTTCTTGGCGCCACTCTCGGCCGCAAAGACCACTCCCTGCACACCCGTACCGTAGTCCGCCGTACAGTATCCTGTGTACCGTACGGTTAAAACCACAAACAGACGAGTGACAGCCATGAAAGAAACGAGAACGGTTTTGCTTAGCAAACAATGATTTTAGTCACCGAATGAAGAACAATGAAACGAAAACGAATCCACTTCTTCTTCTGCTCAGCACTTCTACTGCTAGTTTTAGCCCGCTTTTCGAACGCTATAGATGGTTTGTTGCTTTCGAAGTTTCACTCTTTTCATTTGTTTTGAACGCCCCCTTCATAAAACCTCCCGCTGAACGTTGTTATGTCCCCTGAAATGAAGAGAAACCCACCATCGTCGTCATCTACTATTCACTAATCCCTTTTCACTGCAGATTCTTACCAGAGCTATATACAAGCTCTGGCATGTGAGTTTTTTTCTTGTTTTTATTTTGATTTGCTCGCTTCTTCGATTTTTTTCTGGCTTTTTGTTTGTTCAATAATTGAGCGGATCACGATCCCTGCAAACGATAGGGCATTCGACGGGGCGTGGATTGGGCGCTGCCAAGGCGGGCTGATGTGAGTGTGCAACCATTGCGAATAAGACTGTTCTGGCTGGGCTTCAACTCGCGCCCTTCGCACGCCCTCTCGTTCAAAGGGATCATGATTCTACGATTCGGTGATGACGGCAGCGCGGATCAGTGAATAAATGGGGTCCATCCATTTTGCTCTATCTTAATCTATTGTGTTGGCCCACAAGTACTTTTTTCCTCAGAGAATTTCCTGTGAAAGATGAACGCGTTCGTCCATGAACATCTTTAGTATTCGATATATTCCTTCGTACGTTTTGAAGGAAGCGTACGCATGATCCATGAAAATGTGAAAGGTAGCGTGAGTAAGGTAGTGCAATCCGCACCAGATAGCCTTTAGGCCAGTTTTGCGTAGATTTCAAAGATAAAGGAGCTAAAGCGCAACGTTGCTCCAGTGACACCTCCCTTTTTCCAATGACTACGCCCCCAGTCTCTGCCCCCAGGTTCCGCCTTTCGAAACCCATGCTCCGGTCGTGTAGCATGAAGTAGTTGCTCCATTGTCTCTTGCGGGGTCATAGGGTTCATTACAAAGAACTACAGGGGGGCCAAAAAAAGTCACTTCGACCGAGTCACATATCAGCAAAGTTTTTGCAGCCCAGACAGAGGACGTGGATACGAGTACCAGGGCGGAAGATACCCAAGATGTTCCTCGATAAGCAGGAGCTGGCTCTCGCCCATCACCTTCATGTACACCAAAATATGAAGTCATCTCCAGTCGCAGCCTGACTGGAGAAGACCTTTGGAATTCATGTCACCTCCAAACAGCTGCGAAACTTCTAGTATGGAGTCACCCATGGATAGCTACCTGGAGACCAGTACTCTCAATCTGGAAGACCTCCAACATCGAGCAGCTCCGACAACGTCGCTACGGTCTAGGACATCATCTTCACCGCAGTCGCCAAGGCGCGGGTTGATGGTATGGACCGGACGCACCTGGAATGGAAAGACCAATATTTTCTTCGTGGACCCCGGGCTGAAGCTGAGCGCTGGCGGCTATCGGGGTTACATCGACCAAAATATCTTCGTTTCTCCACATGTCGTCGCCGACTCCCCTTACTCTTTGGAACTTTTGATGTATACCTGTACCAGCATTGGGTGACACCACAGGATCGAAGAGGCGTTGACGAAAAACACTCGCCGCACTCTGGAAATGAGGGAGCGTTGGCGGTACCTGAGAAGAAGACTGGATCTCTCAGAAGGTCACGTGACGTTAAACTTCCTCCCTCAATTACCCGGTTCGGGCGGAGCTCAACAGGGTGGTCTACAGTGGCGGAGAAATCAACTATCTCGCTGAACTCAGGTACCCACTCACGGTCGCGTGGCAGAATCTCTCGATGGCGCTCCTCCAGAAGGCTGTGGCGGAGTATCATGATAGTATTTAATATGCTCTTTAATATGGTGGTAGAAATGTCCGATCAGAATTTAATAAAGTGTAACTTATAGCGCCTCGAAAGTCAATGAAGAAAAGTGACTTTTTTGCCCCCCCCCCCCCTGTAGCTGTCTAGATTGCACTAACCTACACTCCTTTGACCTTGCACTCGTACAACTGCTCGCGGCTAGAGAAGTTCTGTTAGAGGGCTTTCAGACTCCCGTTCGCGTTTTCTTACACTTGGCGAATATCTTGGCGGCTTCTCTTCCATATTTCAAGAGCGCTCTGCTTTTCCTATAGCGGACCGTGCCTTCGAGATAATGCGTTTGGCTCAGCATCCATCATCGTTGTGCGATCTCATCAGCGATCGTAACTGTCTGCTGAGAGAGTGGTGGGTGCGCTTTTTAGCTAATTGTAAGAGAAAAAATCGTCCACGTCAAATGAAGTGTCCTGCTGACAAAAATGGGTTTCTTTTGACAATACTATTTTGTGGCTGGTCGAGGTGCACAAAGAGCTTGCACGATTCTTGAAGGCTACCTTGGAGATTCTTGAAGACTATGGTCGGAGGTGATGTAGTGACAAGTGGCGCGCCCACTCGCGCGGCGCCGGGTTCGAATCCCGGGTCGACACCCGCCCAGGCCAACCAAGCCTTCTACCCTCCGGGGACGGTAAATTGGTACCAGATTCGTCTGGGAGGATAAAACACTGACTTGTACATCGGCTGGCCACCGCAAGTCATTGTATAGGCCACATCGCATTCAATAAGCCACTACGATTCTGAATGGAAGTAGAATGCGTGCCGCATCCCACAAAGGGATTGATCAACGGCGAAGACTTTATCCTTTTTATCCTTATTCATTTCTGCAACTTACACGAGCAAAATGCA